CTGATATTCTATGATTCTATGATGATTGTGTGTGGGGGGGTATCGTTCCTCCAGGTGGGGAACCTGTTTGGGAAGCACCGCTCGACCATCATCACCCTCTACAATGGGGCCTTCGACTCGTCCTCCGCTGTCTTCCTTGTGGTCAAGGTGAGCCCCTGGGCCCTAGCTCCGCGGGCCGGGGGGAGAGGAGGTGGCTGGAGGAGACAGCAATAGGGAGGGTGGGAAGGGTGGGGCAGACCACCTCCTGGAAACCCCAGCTCTGCTCCATGGGGGCTGAGGGGAGGGTTAAAGGTGCAAATTTGGGGTCCATTAAGGAAGGACTTCCTGAGATACAGCCACCTCCTAAACCTTGTGACATGCAAAGGTTCAGGTTCTTTTCACCCTTCCTGCACGCCCCTGGGGTTCGCACTGCATTCCGATCCCCCCCAGACTGGCCTCACCTGTGCAGGATTGAGCTCAGCCAGCGCCTAGCCCCAGCTGGCCCTCTGGGGGAGCAACATTGGGCAGCAAGTCAGATCTAGCCCAGCAGGGGCGCCAGAGAAAACCACTGGTGTGTGTGCAGCAGGACTGGGGCTGTCCGCAGCCAGGGGAGTAGAAAGACAGTGTGGCCCAGTGGAGAAAGCACTGAGCTGGGCCTCAGGACACCTGGCTTCTATCTCCTGCTCTGACCTTGGGCCAGTCCCACCCCGTGTCTGTGCCTCAGTTTCCCCTCCTGCCCTTTGTCCATGTAGATGGTGTTGGCTCCCCGGGGCGGGAACTGTCTCCCTCTGGATTACAGCACCTAGCGCAAGGTGGCCCTGATCTCCATAGAGCCCTTGATGTGCTACTGTAACCCGCAAATAGTACTGGGCCTCTTGCCTGTGCTCTGCCCCAGGTGGTACATTTTTAGTGTGCTGGGTGCACCACACCAGGCCAGGTGGCCCCTATGCCGCCGAGTCTTCAGGCTCCAGGACCCCGTTTCTCTGCTGCGAGTGCAGCTGGGATCAGCTTCCTGAGAGAGGCTTTACCGACTTAGGGTGCCCCGCACCCCATGCACCTCTGCAGCCATCCCAGGCAGCCGTTTTGAAGCCAGGTGCAGCATATTGTCCACTTACTGCCTCCTGTGCGCCCCCTCATGGTCAGAGGTGCCTCTGCGTTACCCCACCCCTGCGGTCTCCTTCACAGGGCGCCCTTTGCCAACAACTCCACACAGGCCAGAGGAAAATTGAAATGTTTCCCCCTCCATTTCTTCAGTCCCTTGGTACACTCCAGCCCTCCAGGCCCCAACGCAAGGACAGCATCTCCCTCCCCTTAGCTAGGGGGTTCCCGGCCCTTGTTCCCAGACCTGGGCTGCGTCTCCAAGGGAGCCAGGCTTGCTGCTTCAAGCCAGCCACAGCGTGTCGGATTTGTATCTCTGGCTGAGCCTGAGCATCTCCTCTCTGTCACCCCCTCATGCTGGGAGCAGTGGAAGCCCTGCTTCCTCCCAGACGGGGCCCATTCTGTAAGGGGCTGGCTTAGCCCCGGTTCTCCAGCCCATGGGCAAGCCACCCCGTGCCACGAGAGCATGTAGAGTAGCTCCTGGAACGCAGCTGAGATCAGGGCCCCGTTGTGCCAGGTGCTGCCCAGACACACAGGGAGAGACAGGCCCTGTCCCAGCTGAGATCAGGGCCCCATTGTGCCAGGTGCTGCCCAGACACACAGGGAGAGACAGGCAGGGCCGGCTCTAGGCACCAGCAAACCAAGCACATTCCTGGCCTTGTCACTGACACACAAGGGCGAGGAGGTTGAGTCAGTTCCCCTCCCCGTACCCCAGTTTCCTCTTATCTGTTGAGACTGTGAGTTTTTCAAGGCACGGGATGTCCCTTGCTATGAGTCTGCGTCGGGCCTGGCACAACGGGGGCCCCTATCCTGGCTGCAGCCTCTGGGAGCCATCTTAAGAACAATACAGGTCACTGAGTCTAGGTTGGCCCCGTATGCACCCGCTGACAACTTCCTTCACCCCCAGCTGCTGTACGAGCAAGGCCTGACCCTGCGAGCCATGTTCCTCTTCCTCTCAGCCTGCAGTGCCTGGCACCTGACCCGCACCTTCTTCCTGATGCCTAGGTGGCACATCCCCTACCCGCTGCCCCCAGGATACACATACGGGTGAGTCACGCTCCACCCCCACCCTCCGCTCCCCATGGGTCCCTCCACCCCCCATCTGCCTCCCGTGGGCCCCTCTGTCTCCCATGGGCCCCCTGCCCCCCATGGGTCCCTCCATCCCCCATCTGCCTCCTGTGGGGCCCTCTGCTCCCCATGGGCCCCATCACCCCTCATCTGCCTCCAATAGAGGTCTTTGCCCTGTCCATCCCCCATCTGTGTCCCATACGCCTCTTTGTTCCCACATCTGCCTCCCGTGGGCCCCTCCAGCCCCCATCTGCCTCTTGTGGACCTCTCCTTCCCCCGTTTGGGCTCTCTGCCCCCCCCCATCTGCTTCCCATGGATGCTGCCATCACAGTCTGTCTCGTCACCCCACTGCACCCTCACTGCCCTCTCTCAGGGAACAGGCTCTGCTGGGTAAATGGGGCTCAGCCCCATGGCAGCTCCAGTGCCGGACCCCTGGGAGTGATTCTCCCCTGGCCCCCAGGCCCTGCTGCCTTGGGGCTGATCCTGTGCGGCAGGGGAGCACTGTGGGTGCTGGGGAACCTCGGCTCTTGCATGGGGGTCACTGGTCCTAGTGGTGGGCCTGGGTGGGTGCTGGGCTGTGGCGGGCGGTGATTGGCTCGTTGTGTCCACAGGCTGAGGTGCCGGAGGCAGGGGTGCTCTTACCGTACCCATGAGGAGCAGCGGCCAGGCCTGGGCGATGGAGCCCACGAGCCCAGCGACCCGTGCTCGGAGCCAGGCCCGGGAGATGCTGATGCCAGCAAGGCCCCCATGGGCAAAGGTAGGGCTGGACAAGTCCCTGCACCGAATTCCTCCTCTGCCTCCCGGGACCCCACCCAGGAAACCCCCCCAAAGCCCCCTCCGCCCCTGCAGCACCCATGGCTCCCAGCAAGCCCCCCAAATCCCCCTCTACCCCTGCAGCACCCATGACCTCCAGTGAGCCCCCTCAAATTCTCCTCCACCCTTGAATCACCCCATGACTTCCAGTGACCCCCCCC